CACCTTAAGAGACCATGGCAACGACCCTTAAGAATTTTAGCGTTTATTTATAATCTTGTTAATTCTTATGATTTTTAGGATTCAATATCCTCGTCTTAAACGTTCAATGTGATGCAATTTAGCTCTGTCTAATAATACTTTGTCCCGTTTTGTTTTCAGGCCCAGGTTCGTCTCGGTGACAGAGATTACGACGAATATCTGCGCCGAATTCCACTACTACCTCGACCAATACACCAACCACATAAGATACCGGTAAGTAGGTTATCGATTAACACTGGAAAATCTGTTACATCAGTCAGAAATGTTGAAGGTCGCTTGTGCTTAAAAATAGGATTATGTCTTCGGCAATAATTGTAGATAACAAGGCCGAAAATTACAAACTTGAAAAACTTTGACATGAAACAAGTTAATTTTTTATCTTAAGTTAAGATATTGCTTCAGCTTTTGGTTTAAGATCAATAATCGCTTATCCTTAGACCGTTAATTTTAATTCCAAGGAGCTGAGGTTTGGCTGCTCTAGTGGAAGCTTTCTAACTTAACATCAATCAGGATCATATATTTTGGTTGGCAAACACACATCATGCTCTATCAGCGATAGCAGCTCTTCTCATCTTTTCTTCCTAAGTTTAATTAAGCTCACACAAGTTTTGTCCTTGCATCAATCCTTTGTATATTCAGACAGTGTACCAGTTACTCCTTGTTGTAATTGTATCAGGATCATTTTTTAAAGGGTTAAAAAATTCATCCGAAAGGGATACAGAACGACATTAAACCTAAAAATAGGATAGATGCAAGACAGTCTACGACTTTCATTTTGAGTATGCAAATTTCCGACTAAGGGCTTTTATGATCCATTCAACCATAAAAAGTAAATACCACCAAAAGAAAAGATTTCTTGGAATCGAGGATGGAAAGTGTGTTTCCGGTATTAAATACACGGCGAATGAAGTTATGAAACATCTGATTTTATTTATTTGTCTTTTTATTTAATACATGTTTTTCTTTTAGGAAGAAACGCTCCTTCAGATGGAAATAAAAGATCTCTACACCTTTAAAGAATTTATCAAGAAGATGAAAACTCACGAGAAGAAGAAAAGTTTATTTTTGGCCAAGTTCGAAACCATTGATGGAAAAATCAACGGGTTAATTGGTCACCTTAAGGATCTGGTACGTGAATCAGAATAGTAAATTACTAGTTAATACTACTTAAGGCCAGCAAAAGCGGTTTCAATCAGTGGTTTCATTCATTTAGTCGATTTATCAAGATTTCAGTTATTACATGAGTTTAACGTAACACTTACTAGTATGTGATTACTGCCTTGTTCTCGTCCTATCCGTTATTATTATAAACGCACTCTTACATGTCCTTATGAACACAGAGGCTGTTTATTTTTCCCCAAATCTTTTAAGGGAGTTGCTGGACATTCAGATCTGTTTTCTTTCCTGCCCTATATAATACTATAATACTGTTATGAAAACCGAAGACTACGTCATACTGATAATAAAGTTTTTACCATACTTTCCTTATCTCTTATACAAACTGTTCTTTTTTCTTTCTTTGCATAGGAAAACTGTCGTGGTTATCAAGTCACGTATCAAGGTGCCTCTGTCCAGCCCACCCTCAAACCTACCGCCACACAGAAAGAACAGGACGAGTGGGAACTGAGCGTGATGAGAGAATTGTGGCATTGGTTGATACCAGTACAAGGAGAACTTTACAAGCAGTTGAACCACTCCTACTAGACTCGAGTCCCTCCCTTGCCTCAGATGAATTTGGAAACACCAAGAGAGCAAAGCCAAAAAGAGTTTTTCTTTCGTACATTGTATCAATGAAGTTTGTAACGTAGAGCTTAGTGCTCATTCTAGTCAGATTTCGGATTAGTTTTTAATCTCACGTGGTCTCGTAAGTTGCTAAAATGGAATTGCTGTATCAGTTAAAAGGCAATAAAAAATTGGAAAAGTAGAATTAGATGTAAAAGAATAAGTTTTTACAGTATTTCGGAAAGGTTTTTACTCACATATTTGTGCAAACTGTAGTAAAGTATAAATAAAAATAACAAAAAACTTGATTCTTTATTTTTATAATCTTTTGAGTGGTCACTTTAATTTTCTCTCCCTTTCGCGTGAGATGTAAAATACATATATTTTACTGCCACAATTTCAACTCGTTTTAAAAGGATCGCCGAACTTTTTCCATGGTAAATTTAAGGGTCTGAATATGATGTAAAACTTTTTAAGTCTTGTAAAACAACAGCCGAATTAGCAACGAAAAAACGACCTTTTTTTACATGAAAGGTTAGATATGAACCGAGGCGTTTCTTGATGTTGGGGGAAAAAGTGTACTTCTATATTAATATTTTGAAAGAAAAAAATCATAAAAAGACTTATTTTAGATTATTTGACTGCTCTCGCCGATATAGCCTGTTTACCTACCTCCCCTCAGTAAAAAAAAAAAAAAAAAAAAAAAAAAAAAAAAAAATGCGGGGGGGGGAGGGTCACTTTTTATACTATCATGGTCTGTTCTTGGATAATACATTAGGTTTCGAAACGGCTAAGAGGCTGCTTAAGTACTTGAAAAATAGATATACCGGGGAACAATAAATTCTTTTTAACGTATAATATCAGATTAATTTCTTATTTCTTATTTCTGAAAAAAAATCCAAGTACAAAGACCTAGAAATACAGAATGTGGCATATGAAAACCGTAGTGATCCCTGTGGTTGTTGGTGCGCTTGGTACAGTGAAGAAGGGTATGGTAGAAAACATCAAGAAAGTATCAGAGAGAGCTACTATGACAGAGATTCAAAAGATCTGCATGCTGGGATCTGCACGAATCCTCAGAAAGGTGCTCAGTGTATGAACAGAATGATTGACTTGAGTGACTGACGCTCTAGGTGCATGGTTTGCGCCCGGCTGATGCACAAAAAGAACACCAGCAAAGACTGTGATAATAGAGACAATAATAATAATAATAATAACCCTCCGAGCAGTCATTTCTTGTGCTTGTTCTCTTTGCCAGTCGAGAAAGCTGAAAAGCTGAACTTTCCGTCATAGCTATTATTTTGCTGTTGTTCATTGGGGTTTAACTTCACTATTTAAGTGAAGCCTATGGAAAACAGCCCTGTCTTCTCTTTTTATCAGTCGAGTTTTTATTTTTACATTTCAATTCATTTGCTATTTTATGCAGATTCCTCTCAAAAGTTGGACTGCAGTTACAGTGCGCGTCAATGTATGAAAGCTTCTGACATCCCGACACCAAACTACGTCGAGTTCCTTTCCAGCCAGATCAGCACCCGCCTGGCGGGATCGTAACGTCAGCGCCGTATTGAGAGTTTGCGCATTAGCGCGAAGAATGGGGAAGAGACGCTTTGAACTCCCGCCTGCCCGAAGACTAGTTTTTTTGAATGTTTTGGTCACTGTACAGACAGAAATGTTTGATTGAGTATGAACAGAAACACGTCACTCAAATGCTACTTGGGAGCTCACACGTCTCCCATGTGAAACGAAGCAAACCGTAACATTTCTAAACTGCGCGGTTGTTCCACTACAACTGGAACATAGCCATTTCATTAAAACGTTCATAATTTTGGGCTCTGTAAGTGAATTTGGCTGACAAATTATGCTACCTTCATCTGTGTAATTTTATGACAGTATTGGTGTCAACTAAGGGCCTGTTTACATGGAGATGAGGGACCTCAGATAGGTGAGGAAAGATGTGGTGGGTCACTCCACCTATCAGGTAAACGTCATCAAATTAAGATACCACATTATATGGAAAGGCAGGTTACCATGGTTACTCCACTTAAGCGGGTTACCTCACCTAGCAGGGGTCCCCCACCTCCATGTAAACAGGCCTTAAAACAGGCCAGTCACGTGGAGCAAAACCTCCATGCTGGTATGCGAGAAAGGCATCTAGGACAAGGCAAACAAAGACTTCACATCACTTGAAATGATAACCTCTTTTAGTTGTCTTAGTTTGTGACCAGTGGTATGAAAGCGTAAAAAGCCATGTTTTAGGTACCAAGCTCTGATACAAACAATGATTTTAAAAGGAATATCAACTCACAGCACTTAATCTCAGTGCTTGAACGTTGCGTCGAATCTCTCTCCAAGGGGTGAAGGTTATTTATGGGTTATTAAAAACGGCGCCCTAATAGAAATCAAGAAATCTGTACAGAGATAATTGTCGTACAAAAAAAGCAGTGTTTGTAAAATTCTCCAGAGTAAAGGCAAAGACTTTTCCCCAGTTTTCTATCTATTTATTTATTTTTGAAGATGAAATTATGTATTTTCTTAAAACCTGGAATAAAAAGTGTGCTTATTTAGTAGACTGTTTATAATTATTATTATTATTATTATTATTATTATTATTATTATTGCTGTTACGTTCCGTCATATTTATGACAATAATGAACTTACTAAAATGGACAGTGGAGGAAAGTAGACTGCAAACCTTTTGTGACACGCTTGACAATGATTACGCTTAAATTCATTTTCCACCAAACTACCCCTTTCTTTCAAAAGACCAGGGGCCCGATTCTCGAAAGTCCTGGTAACTTTTCTGGCTCGAAATTTAATATTTAAATCAAAATCTAAAGAATAAAAGCACGGGTTCTAGCTGACAAAACAGGCCATTTTGTTTTGTTAACTGATAGTTTTATCATGTTTATCTGCAAAACTATCAAACCCTCTATCTGGAAGGTAAACAACAACAGCTTGTTTCCGGTACTTTCAAAGCACCAAAAAACAGTAATGTTAAGCAAGAGAATTACTGACAGCAAAACTCGTAAGTAATAGCTCTGTCAAATTTGTCTCACACGCACTTTATGGCGTCCTCATTAATGTTATGAAGAATAAATTTCCTAGGGCCGGGTTAACAGATATTTCTTCTTTTATTATCTTAGTTTCTTCCTCTTAGTTTTCCCCGTTATTGATTAATTACTGAATATTGACTACTATTAACTGTCCTTTTTCCTCCTTTAAGTTTGGTTTGCGAATTTTTATACACTAACGACGTGCGCTGAGCTGGAAAACATATTATTGCCAATAATAATGACCAGTTCTCTCATTTGACTTTTAAGCACTGCCACTTCACGACTGAGGTCCTGGTATCGAGCTGGGCTGCTGCGCTTATTCCCATGAAGGAACTGGGGCGGAAATGAAGAAGTACCGTTTAAGTAGGCTTCCTATGTGAGAAATAGAGAAAATAGTGATAACTCCTGAAAAGATCTTAGAGTTATTAAGATGGCATATCGATGATTTGGAATTTTCACAGCACTCGTTCATCTTTTTCACTTCGTGGGAGGGGACTCATTTAAAAGGAATTAAAATGCCTGTTGATAAATCATATCCACAATACATTGAGGAACAAGAAAAGTTTTAACCTCGATTAAAAAACAGGGCGTTGTTGAGCCTGAAACCAACAGGCAAAGCGTGGAAAAGACACGATTTATTTTGGTGTAACATGTCATTGGCGCATCTCTCGTTTGTATTATTCAGACACTGAGTATCTAGGCGGAGAAAAGCCTATAACGTGTCATAGCTATAGACAGATTTCTGCCCCATTTCAGGTCATGTGACGGCTTCAAGGAAATTTGCTTTTAGCCTTTTTTCATAGGTACGCAAATGAGACAAAATTTGAAAAGAGTTTCCACATTACGTGGTCTAGCTCTATAAAACTGGAAAACAAACGATCAAAGTCGAAGAGGAGTTCTAAAAACTACTTTAAGCACCAGTTGACACTGGCATTGAAGGAGTTCTTAACTGAATTTTAAGCTGTGAGATATTCAGGGCCGTAGACAGGAAGAAACTACAACCGAGGCGAACACACGGTCCGTTGTACGAAATCAGCCGTATGAAATCTTCTAATATTATCATTCTCATAAAAAAAATAAAAATCGACAGTATTTGGTAAGATTTTACCGAGGCGAGTGCCTCGGTTCGCCTCATACTGGCTACGGCGGTGGATATGAATTACTTACCGCCATATCCATGCCAATAATGAGTCCTGACAGGAGGCGAACACCATCCTTCAAGCACAGATCAGACTGTGGACCAGTCATGACACTTGGAATTTGACTAAACAATAAAGAGTAGATTCTGATATGATTCAAGTCAAAAGTCAACCTCTGCAATACCTGAGGGAGAACAAAAATCCGTGATCAGTAATCACTTGTATACTACTATACCTTCGTAAGTATAGGTGGAATGTGATCGTTCGGTCGAGTAAAGCCCTGAATAGGGATGTTGTTGACAGTGATCATGACTGACGTTTTGGACAACCTGTGCAGAAGTCATCCTCAGATTCAAAGTGAGTTGTATCACGTCATTTGATGGAATTATTTTCTCGTTATTGACCGCTTTGGTCAATTAATTTGCGATGTTATTAGTCGACTGTCAAGTAAGCCGTGATGTTATTGGTTGTGACTGAAGACTCTAAATGTGATTGGTGCGTTTCACGGATCTATCTTCGGTCAAAGTTATAAGGTGGGTTATCTTTCGCTTTCACTGTTTGTTTTACTTAGCAGCTTTGAGGTATCTTTCATTGTCTCAAAGCTCTGCACTCACCGTCACTCCTGAAGAGGCTGAAATGTAGGAGCTTCCCATTGATCTTTTGAAAGGGATAGATCCCTAGGATAAAAAAAAAACAATACATAGTGAAAGTTTGCGATCGGAGATTAGCGAAAATCCGAGAAAGTATCTAACTGCAATTCAAAACAAAATTTAGTAATGAGGAAAAGAGATGAATTATATCAGATTTTCCGCAAAAATCTGTTAGCCTCTAATATCTGCAAGTACACGATCTTGGCCTGGCTTTTGGAACTGATGATCCGATCAAATGGTTAAACTTGGCGAAAGTTTTACTTTGAGGCAAGAAGAAAATTCACTTGACCTGCAAGCTATAGGCTATAGCTCATGGCTCGTGTAAATTTTCTTCTTGCCCTCAAAATAGAACTATCCAAGTTTTGCCATTTGTACTTGTTTTAATTATTTATTATATAGATACTGAGAAATACTCACCAAAAAGCTATGTCGTAAATTTTCATACGCAAATGAGTTCTAGCTAATCAGAGGAATAAACGATGGTTTCACAAGTGGAAGAAATGATACGTCCAATAAGATCACGTGTGAGAAAAATGATACGTCCAATCAGAGGCGACAAGGGTGTGTGAGTTTCGCGCCAAAATTCCCGCCTTCTATAGGCGCTTGCACCTTGCAGCGCCGCTTCGCAGTTTTTGTCGTAAAAAGTTAAAAACATCTCGGAAATTGGAGTTTGTTCAGAGGTTTGTTTCACTGTCGATGAAGAAAACTGTAGAGCGCCGACTAAACAATAGCAGAAGGGGAAAACAGAACGATACGTAAGCTTAAGCTTAAATTTATTTATTTTCAATGGTACATTCAGGTTTAACAGTCAAGATTACTTGGGGCGCTTTCCATTCAACCCAAAAATTCCGGAAATTTCGGTTGGTACATCAAACGGAACGGACCATTTCGGTTTTGTCCTGACCAGAATATTCGGGACCAGCTTTGAAGGTGGTCCACTTTGACCTGTCTGGTCGTTTCGGTCGGTCGGACCGAATGTCCTTTTCCATTTGACGTAATTGTTGTCCCCAGTAAGATTCTCTTTTGTACCCTGCTTACAAGAACAATACGGAGCTTTAGCAACGACGACGGCGACGACAACCAGGACGTCAAAAAAGCGATAGGTTTATTACGCAAAACAACAACTTTGCACGTTCATAACGCATTTTTGTACATTTCGTTACCGTCCTTGCACGACTACGACGTGAAAATGCCCAATTGCAAGTTTTATGGAGGACGTAAACAAGCGACGACGAATCTCTTTTTCTCTCTCTAAAGTTGAGTGAGATTCCGCAAGAAATTAAAATCAACTCCAGGGAAATTCGCCTACACTTGCCATTTTCAGCAAATTGGAATAAACGCGACAAAGATTGAAAAAACGGGAATTCATTTTAAAACTGACGTTTTCGCTGCCGTTGCCGTCGTCGATGCTAAAGCTCGCTGATAACCAAACGCGCGACGGCTTGGGTCTGGTCTGCGCAACCGGAAGTACCGTTCCATTGGGCACGAGAAATTCCGAAATTTCATACCGGAATTTTTGTTGAATGGAAAGCGCCCTTGTAGTTCTTGGATTACCTCATATCCTTACCCTCATTATATTTTTAACCAACGTTTTTACCAATATAGCTGATACTTCGATTTTGTTGTCATTTTGCGGTGTGTACTAGCGGCAAACTTGAGCATTTTGGAAAGATTTGAAATGATGATGACTGTCTCAGTATGTATATAATTAGCCTGTGCCAGGCTCCCAGATAGCATAATAAGGACGTACTAAAACGAGCAAAGCGAAAATAAGACGCGCGCGACTTGGGAAAGGGGGTAAACACAATACCACATGGAAAGTGCCTCGTACGGTATTTACGCACTCGTTGTCTTTGTAACAGAAATCTCACTCGTTCGCTGTGCTCACTCGTTCGATTAATGATACGTCAACAACTCGTGCGTAAAATATCGTACGCCCGCAATTTCTATAAAGTATTCTCTATATATACTTCACTTACAAACTCTTCCAAAGTTGTGTTGAGATGTGTCGTCAGGTTTGTACACCATTCATCAAGAACATGAACGGGTGACAAGGTTTGACCACCTTGTATCGATCCCGCAGCTGCAAGGCCCACAACGGACCTTCGACTTCTCAAAGTCGCTGAGTGGGTGTTTTGACAGAGGAGAAGAACTGTTGCCAAAAACACAATGGCGAATGCTTTGAAATTCATTTTTGCTGTAAAGGGATACAAACGGTCAATGATTAGTAAGTCAGTGACGAATCAAGCAATACTTCATTGATGAGTAACTGAAGGCAATTGCAGCGGGTAATAAATCAATCAATTAACCAATCAACTTGTCGACAATCAACCATGTTTTAGTTCAATTCTGTGCTGAAGTCATTACTTAGTGCCCTCATCCGTTCACAAAATGCTCCTTTAGAGTTATAAACAGGGGCGCCCAACGACTGTTTTCTGTAAAATGTCTGTTCGGAGAAGCAAATTTTGACTAGAATTTTCTATTGCTTGAATACGGCTAAAAATTTCTAAAAAGATGAACATTCCGTTCAGGTACAATTTTCGAAGCTTATCTAAAAAATTCCCTACGATTTTCTGGGGTTTAATTTTTCACATTTTACCACTTGTGTTAGGCTAATTTTCGTAGAAAAAGGAAACCTAAAATTTTCGGATTAAAAAATTTGATGGACAGAGGAAAAAGAAAAATTCTCATATTCGTAAAACATTCAAGTGTATCTAAAATTTTCGGGAAAATATCACTGAAGCCCTTGTAATTTCGAAAAACCTCAAGTTCTCCTAGGATGACCGAACAGATACAAATTTTATAGCGCCGCTTAGAATGCATTTCTAGAGATCTAAAAGTACTCTGGATAGCCCAAAAAGACTTTTCAATGCACTTCGAAGGAAACCGTCGTTGGGTGCCCCTGTATAAAGCAGATATCTAACAAATTTCATCAGGAAGCACTAACCATAATATTTTTTTGGTGATTTTTACAGGCATAGCATTAAAACGTGAAAAAGTTGGGCAGGCCCAACTTTTAGTAAAGTTTCAATCCTTGTCCAACCGATCCTTACCTTGGTTGCTCTGGGTGTGCAAAAAATATAGCAAGTTATCCTGCTGTCGAGTTTCTAAGTATTGCATGAATTGATTGTACCTCATAATTCTCACGGCTATTGAGCGATATTTATACGGCTGTTGTGTTTGGCTAATTGGTGAAATCACCGCTTCAAATCTGGAGAAGTGATAAGCAAATGGGAGAATTTTTGTATCGACTGAATACAACAAGAAATGGGATATATTGCATTTGTGTACGCGGTTATATTTGCTTAAGGAAAGCATTACCGTCTTTTGCTTGCTTATGGTAATTCAAAACCACCTTTAAGTGGAAATCAAGGAAATTTGGAAATCGATGGAGGTAGCAGCAGCGGGCGAGTAAGTCAATTCGCTCGGATCTTATTGGGTCAATGCACTTTGCGCTTTGTAAGATTTTGCCTTTTACACGGCGTTTTCTTTTCCAAGGGCGATTACTAAGGTTAAGTTACTGAATGTCAGTGATTGGTCTGGTTATTCTGTTTCAACAAAACGAGATATGTATAGGGGTAACTTTTCGTTTGCTTGTTTTGTTGTTTTTTTTTTGTAAACTGACTACCGTGATCACAAACAACTTCCTTTCTCTTTATGTCGGTAGTGAAAATTGACCCTTAACCTACACTTCCGTGATTATTTTAAGAAAGTTATTTACTTCAAATTTATATCCGCAGAATCCAGTGTTTATAAAGCTAGGTGGCAGTAAATTATACTCTAATTGTGTTTAGCAAATGTTCGAATGAAAACTCGGTTCCCACAATGAATTAATTTGTCCGTTGAATCACGTTTCAGTCTGCTTTCCTAACGATTACATTATCAAAGCACTTATGTCTTGCTCTGTCATCGCTGGTACAGGTATGATTCATGACCAATACGATTTAAATGACAAAAACCTTTACAATTATACAAAAACGTTTAAAACAATACACTGTTATAACGGCGTTGAATTTCAGCGGTAATTACTCCTGACTTACCGGCGTCTCTCGATAATCATGAGTTAAATTGGTAAAAATTTGCTGTCAAATGAAAATCTTAAGGGAAAATTATTGTTGCATCTGAGGTCCTTTTTTATTCATCACATGATAGCATTGACGTAAGAGGTGGCCGAGATCTAGTTCAGCATCTTCGATGAAGGCGTTTTCGTGACACAAGACAGAGCAGCGCTTTCACTTACAAAATAATTTTCAAAATCTGAATTCAAATAATTAAAAAAATAACGAAGGTGACAGATTTTATCTGATTTTACTTCAACTTTTAGTTAAATTGTAACCTCATAATATACTAAATATTAAGCAAATAAACTTGGGCTTTAAAGTTCGGATGTCAAAGAAGTACAAATGAAGCTTGTTATAATACTTGATTTCTGAGGAACGGCATGATTATGATGAAAGTAGTCGATTAAAAAACACAAACACACATCCACTCTGTCTCGCTTTTATATCCTTTGATTTCTCGAAATGTCCTTGCTTTGTGATGTCTGAATCAAGAGAGAATAATCTTGTCTTGTTTGACTAAGGCTCTGGGTTAGAAAACAAACTCATACGAACTAATATTGTTAAAAACCGCGAGAACACTTATTATTCAGCAACTAAAAGCATAAAGTGAGCAAGCAATCAAACTCTGAAGCAATCAGGAACTTAACAATCTCACACAGAAAGACTGTTTTAAGTTTTCGCTTACCTTGCAATTTTGCAATCGACATTGATGAACAATATTTTACAGTACTCCCTAAACTATTCTACAATTATACCGATTTATTACTGAGCCAGGTCAATAAGCGTAGCTTAAAAGGAAATTCAAAGTCAATTGGCTCTGAGAAATCGCTGAAATCGGTTATAAGTCAACTAGCTTTTTGAATTTTGGTTGAATCCAGTGGAGGGAACGGAAGTGCAAATTTTAGTAACACACTAAGATTATCATTTTCAGTTTAAATCACAGTGAACGAAATATTTCTGAGATCGCCAGGTTATTGCACTTTCTTGCAAGTAGATTTCAGCGATCAGTGAGAACATCAAATCAGTGACGTTCTTTATTGGTTTATCTAAATCATTTGTAATACGATCCGATATAGTAGTAACGAGTATAATATTACAACGAGAAGCATCAAATTACAGTTTCCTAGTTTAATTTGTAATTTAATACTGTCGTAAAATGCCAATGGGGTGGCTTCTCCTGACGAAAAAGTCGAAAAGGAGGGATAAAATCAGCTTGAAAGTTATAGTAAAGAATGTCATTATGACTCGTAAACAGCACATTCCAAAGGGTCTGTAACGGCTGCAGGGGAAAGAACGTTTAAGTCACGACATCCGCTACGTACGTACAGTGTCTAAATTTAGAGGTACATAAAATTTTTCAACAGTTTATGCCTCATATTTTAGTGAAATAAGCATAGGAAGCAACGATAAACTCTTTTAACTGATTGCATTGCTTAAATTTGAATATGATAGAGGAAATAGTAAAAACAGGAAAAGCGCAAGAAAAATGTTGACTTTATATTTTAAATGCACAGTGCGGGATGACCGGTAACGGGATTTTTTTATTTTTAATTGTGACATTGAATTGGGGAAAAATTGAGATTGTCCAAATTCCCGGGCATTGTTGTCCAGAGACTATTTAACCAGGGTTTTCAACGTGTGTGGCCCATTCAGTGAAAGATACAGAGAAACGTAGCACACACAATCTTTGAGAAATCAGAATGAAGACTTCAAATCCCGGTAAGTGCCTCAATTCTTTGCTAGGCAGTCATCTACTTGCTAACACTATCAATCGATCATTGAAAGTCGAATATCTGATGAACTTAAACAGAGCCACAAAGTATTTGTTACTGACTAGAGTACTTTTCAGGCACTACGAGTCGTGGTTAACATGTTTAAAATTGAATACTTAGTTTTAGCTTGTATTTCTAAGTTACAAGAAAACAATATATAATTAGAAAAGCTCACTGAAATATAAAAAAACCATCTTCAACTAATTAATACAAAACGTTGAAAGACTAGTAAGAGTAACGTACTTATAACATTAAATCAGTCAATAAATCTTTTACTAAAAGTCAAATATCGCAAATTCTAATTTTTAATAATGATAATTATATCATTATTATTTTTTACCAGCCAAAAAGTGGATGACGATTCACTAAGATCTTTTCCTTTTTCCAGGTTTTTACCCCACCGATTTCGTCATTTGGACGGCTGTGCTTATGTTCGCCAGTGGTGGAAGTGCCTCGTCAATTTGTGTGTCTTTGCCCACGTCTCCAGAAATTATAAAAAGCTTCACTTATTCCCATTTCGTCCAGCTGTCAAAGACTGTCGGTGAAACACAAGCAGACTTTGTAAGTGAAATCAATAGTTTAAAAAGTTATAACTATCACAAATGTTTTCTTTGATCGATAGCCCCTTGGTCTTATTTGCTGAATTAATGCCTTATTCCAGCTAACGGTCTTTACGTACTACTTCCCTACGCATGTGTACTAATTAATAATAAGAGCTTTGAAAAGTTGCTTTTTTAGAGTGAGTCATTCTTATATATTTGGCGTGTTGAGAAATTAAGTGTCAGAAAACATGCATTGGATACAGTTAATGAAAACCGCCATATGCTCAACAATCAGCTGCGAAAAAACTGAGCCTCTACCTTCGCCGTTTTAATACTCGGAAACAAAAGTGTCAGAGTTACGTTGCACTATTTTGTCTTTTTTTCCTGATAAATGAGAAAGATTCGAAATGTTAGGGTCACTTTGAAGTCATTATGATCAATGCTCACTCGTGTGGAAGTTCAACAGGGTGATAGAAGACGGCCAACTAGTGAAATATTTATCGGTAGCACTCGCTGACACCACCTTAAGAGATCATGAAAGCAACACTGCGCTTAAGAATTTAAGTTTTTTTATCTTGTTCTCTTTCATGAATTTTAGACTTCCACATCCTCGTCTTAAACGTTAAATGTGATAACACAGCTCTGTCTTAATTTGTCCCCTGTTGTTTTCAGGCCCAGGTTCGTCTTGGTGACAGAGACTACGACGAATATGTGCACAGAATTCCACAACTACCTCGACCAATTTGGCATCCAGATCAGCTACAGGTACGTACCTTACAGCATTACAAAGAGGCAAATCTTTCACATCAGTTTGAAATGTTGAAGGTGCTTAATGATAGGGTTATATTCTAGCCAACAGTTGTAGATAACAAAAATCCAAGGCAAAATTACAAACTTTTAGAAAAGTTAACTTTAACATGAAACAAGTTAAATCTTCTAACAAAAAGTTAATTGTCTTAGCAAGCTGGTCTAAGATCAATACTGACTTGCTAATCTTTAGACCATTAATTTTGATTCTAAGGACTGAGCTGAGCTTTGGCTGCTCTAGTGGAAGCTTTCTAACCTAACATCAATCAGGATCGTATATTTTGGTTGGCAAACACACATCTCTATCAGTGATGGCAGCTCCTCTCGCCCTTTTCTCTCTTTAAGCTCACACAAGTCTTATCCTTGCATCAGTCCTTTTCATCTTGCTTGTACATGGAGCTGTATCTTCAGACAAAGCGCTAGTTATTTCCTTGCTTAAACTGTTCAGGATCATTTTTTTGAAGGGTTAAAGAATATCTGAGATGGATACAGAACGACATTAAACCTAAAAATAGGATAGATGCAAGACAGTGTACGACTTTCATTTTGAGTAATTATGCAAATTTTCGACTATGGGCTCTTATCATGATCCACTCAGCCATGAAAAGTAAATACGACCAAAAGAAAAGATTTCTTGGAATCGAAGATGGAAAGTGTGTTTCCGGTACTGAAATACTATGCAAATGAAGTTATTAAACATGCCATTTTATTTATTTATCTATTTATTTATACGTTTTTCTTTTAGGAAGAAACACTTCTTCAGATGGAAATAAAAGATCTCTACACCTTTAAAGAATTTCTCAATGAGATTAAAACTCACGAGAAGAAGGACAGTGTATTTTTGGCCAAGTTCGAAACCATTGATGGAGAAATCAACAGGTTAATTGGCAACCTTCAGGATATGGTGAGTGAATCAGAATAGTAAATTACTAATTAATACTACTTAAAGCGGTTATACAATCAGTGGTTTCATTCATTCAGTCGATTTATTTAAGATTTCAGTTATTGCACGAGTTTAACCCAGCCTTTATAAGTATGCGATTACTGCCTTGTTCTCGTCCTATCTGTTATTATTGTAAATGCATTTTTACATGTCTTATGAACAAAGAGGCGGTTTATTTTTCCCCATATCTTTTAAGGAGGTTCCTGGACATTCAGATATGTTTTCTTTCTTGCCCTATGTAATACTATAATACTACTATGAAAGCCGAAGACTGCGTCATAATGATAAAAATAAATTTTTTACCATACTTGCCTTATCTTTCAAGGAAAGCTCAGTTCTCTTTTCTCACCAATCAAATAACAAAATTTGAGATCGTCTTTACCAAGAACATAAGTATTTCAGTTGGCCTATTGACCGACCATACAAACTGTCCTTTTTTCTTTTTTGCACAGGAAGTGTGTCGTGGTTATCAAATCACGCATCAAGGTGCCTCTGTCCAGCCCACCCTCAAACCTACCGCAACACAGAAAGAACAGGACGAGTGGGAACTGGGCGTGCTGAAAGAATTGCTCTACTGGTTCATACCAGTACAAGGAGATCTTTACAAGCAGTTGAACCACAAATACTAGACTCGAGTCCCTTCCTTGCCTCAGATGAATTTGGAAACGTCAAGAGAGCAAAGCCAAAGAATTTTTCTTTCGTACATTGTATCAATGAAGTTTGTAACGTAGAGCTTAGTGCTCATTCTAGTCAGATTTCCGAATCGCTGTATCAGTAAAAAAAGTTATGAAAAATTAGAAAAGTAGAAGTTATAAAAGAATAAGTTTTTACAGTATTTCGAAAAGGAATTTTTTATTCAAATAGATGTGCAAATTGTACTAGTTAACTATAAATTTAAATAAGAAAAAACTTGATTTTTTACTTTTATAATCTATTGAGTGGTCACTTTAAGTTTTTCTCCCCTTTGCTTGAGATGTACAAAAAAAGTATTTTACTGCCATAACTTCAACTCGTTTTAAAAGGATGGCCCAAATTTTTCCATGTTAAAGGGTCTGGGTACAATATGAGAACTTTTTTTGAGGGGAGGGGGATCTGTACACGGGCTACAGCAGATACAGAGAAGTCAATTTTTTTTCGTTAAGTTGATTGATAATGGGTTAGGTTTCGAAACAGCTGAGAGGCTGCTAAAGTGCTTGAAAGGTAAAAATACGTGGGAAAAATAATTGGCAAAATATTAGTCTAATTTCTTGTAAAGCAATAATCTATTTTCGTCCTAACGAAGGACACTGTATAATAACAGTTCGCTTTCGAATCATTTAAAATTTCCAGGTTGAAAAAAAAAAAGTCGACAGGATGGTTAGTTTTTAAAAAACGAGGATCGATTCTAGTGACGTAGGAAAGGACCACAGAGCGCTTATTGCTGATGATAACCAGCGACTGGCGACAAACTTCAAAGCATTCGCGGAGCAATGCGAACTTCAGTTGCTAATCATAGCCTTATACAGTTTCATCATTCGGCTACTTTAAAATTAATCCGCCAAATTTCCTGCTTGATTTTTTCAGATAATAATTATTATTCGCCCTCTCTTAATATAAAATTAAGCACATTTAGGAGCACAGAGCACGGTTTATTTTAACTGCTTAATGAATTGTTTGTCGAACCGTAGGACCATACTTGTCATGAAAAACTGACCCCTCTCAGCTAGGTTACAGGAGATATCAAATTACAGCATTTTGAGCTTCGTAAAATTTGACGACAACACAACGTTTTTTCAACAACGCCAAAATTAATTAAACCGTGACCAGCTGTTAGTAGAAAATAACCCGGAACTAAACTAAAGAAAAGGCTTCTTTCGTCAATGATGCTAGCCGCTTACGTAAGACGATAAAACCCATGTTCTCTTTTCTTTCAATAAGAATATCGAGGCTAAAATTTACGAAATTTTAAGAATATTATAAGAATATTCCCAAGGCTGAGATTTTGGAAAATGAGACAGTTTTGTGTGTTAAAACTATGTAAATACCATACACGTGTACAATTATACGTTCTTAAACCGTTTAAACTTAGTCATTTCTCTAAACGGCAAAACTATAGTGAACAAAACGTAACAGGAATGACGATACAAAGCAGATCAAGGGAATGTAGATCTACACTCCCGCAAAACCTCAGTGTCCAAAAATCCAAGGCTGCCATTTCAATCACAGTATTTCTAAATCAAAACGAATTTTACTTTATTCTCTCTCAGCAGTTCAACTTCCATTTCCTAATGTTTTTCCTGTGTTTTTTCACTTCCTAAAGCATAATTATCATGGATGTCTTCGATACTTATTTTTTTCCCTTTAGAGTTACGAATCGAATACGTCATCATGGTCTTTCCTACTCTTTACCAGTTCCCAAATTTTCACTTAGTTTTAGCTTGATGACAACGCTGAATCACTTATCAGCTTAAAGAACAGAGGAAGCAAAGCGCTTGCAATGTGCATTCATATTAGTAAGTTACTTACGTACACCGTGGTAGTAAGAGCGTCAAGTCAAGACTAAATTTAACGTCAAGTTCTCAAACTGACTTGAATGAACTCGACGAGGTTACTTCACTTACTTGGCAGAAAACATTTTATGAGTTTAGTCTATAAATAACGGCTAATCGTGAAGTGATGACTTGTAAATGAGATTGTCATCTTTTCACAAAAGAAAATGTCACAGCGCACACCGGAAGTGGAAAGTAACTAGAGTCCAGACTCTCCTGCGCAATGTCGAACACACATCAAACTGACTGCAATCCCTCCTTGAGCTCCTCATATTTTTCCATAAAAGATTATTATAAAAGAGTAAGCTTCGTTGCGGTGTTAAAGATTCAGAGGAAATAATCTAATATACAATACTGAAGCTTTCATTCCGGTTTTATTATGCTGTCAGTGTGTGACTGTGTGCTTTTTTTTTCATATCGCAAGTTTGACTCAATGCAATACTAGATGCGCTTTAAAATGATTGTTTGCAAGGCATTGAACAATCTAACTATTTTTGTTGGGAATAAACTGACCAAGTAATACTGTTTGCCTTAATCGCATTTTGAATTCAATAGATTTTTTTATTCTGTGTAGGCGTTTAACTGTTATCAAGAAGCTAGCAAAGCTTCCGTTATTACTGTGTGCTAGCTGGTCAAACGCCTGTTAGCGCGACGAAATCAATGCTCAGAAAATAAAAGGCAATTGAAATTGCACCGTTTAAAACGGTTCAAGTGAGCCAAATTTGGAAATCATTACAATTTCGCTTGCACTAAATATATTCGGTTACTCGAATAACTATGACATTTGTGTTCAGGATGAACCTCTTTATGCGTAAAAAAATATTTTCTAAGAGGTTTATAGAACCTACCACTCTGCTTCTCTACATCTGTATTTTGAAAGTATATCCTTTTTCGCAGTTTTCGAACAATTTTTCTGTTTTCAAATTTGCGCAGAACCGTGACAAGGAAGTTATTATTCATAGAGTCTCAAAATAGAGAATGCTACAACCTTACTGAAAAATTATTCCTTGGAAGAAAAAGCAAAATTTTCAGAAACAAGACTGAATTCTCTAATTGGATCATTCTGAAAGGTGACGTGGGAGAATGGTAAAGAACTGCGAAGACAAAAAGTACTTTTATTGAAAGTTTTACTAAACGGATAACTAATTCTATTGTCGTCAATCATAAGTCAATTTTAGTAAATCACTCGTAGAGAAAAGAAATTAAAATATTGGAAAGACATCAAACATGCAAAAATCGACAAATCGAATAGGCATTGTTACTTTTAAAGGATCTTAGCAAATAAGGAAGCGTAGCGTACAAATATTTATACAAATTCCCAGATGGGGAACCGCAACTTATCAATCCTATCTGTGTTAGCCAAATATTGGTATTAAATATTTATTAACTTGGATCACTTTGAAAAAATCCAAAAAAAGTATATCCAGAATTTTTTTTTGATTTTTCATTTGAATTATCTAATATCCGCTATTTCTGGTTTCAAGGAACTTGAGAAGCGAACCTATTGCCCAATTCTTTGAGTACCTGAAAATTTAATTTCAGACTATTGCAGTACTGGTTCATAATTTTTCCGTGTCGTTTGAACAATTCAAAATCTTTGTTGCGTTAAAGAGCACTCAAGGAGAAAAATTTCTATTGTTTTATCGTTTAAGCAAAGTTTGAGGAGGCGTTTGATGTTGTATAAGAATATAACTTGTATGGCATTAAAAGAAGTAAGAAAGTTCTCTGTGCAAAGCTGGTAAATCGCGTACTTTATTCGTGTTACACCTGTTAATAGCGGTTAAAACCGTTATCATAATGTTCCTTTTAGCGGAACTGACTCACAGGGGACATACATCCGTACTGAAGGAAAAAGTACCTTTTTTCGAAGCAAGTTAGAAACATTACGAATAGGATTTCCTATCCATCTGAGATGGTGACTTGGATAAAAAGGGCAGTCGCGAAATTTCAAAGTTCACTTGAATCCGAGACGATCAACAGGAGTGTCAAATTACAGAAACAGATATCACTATCATGCTAGGTAAGAGAAAAATTGGTTTACTTATTGCAATCTGCTCTTACGTCTTTGCTAATAATGTAAACGAGAGATTCAACCATCATTCTAGAATACTGTAAATTTTCATGTTGCTGATTTTGACTTTTTCTGATAACTCGGTGCTGCTGTAAACCGATGACACTTTAATCTAACTTTTGATTGTGCTTAAGTTACTGTGCTGCTCGGTGCTAGCCTATTACACGCCACGGGTAAATTGCTTTTAAACCAAGGTATCGCTTGTAATTGGAGAATAGCTTCTTATAAAATTTAGGAACGTAATTATGCTGACCAACCAAAAATTTTATCTACGGGGCTTAGACGACAAATTAACGACCTTGGCTCTCTTATGGAAAAAATAAAATACTTAGTTGTGTTAACCATGTCCAACAGAAAATATAATGACAAGTTTTACTTGTCAAAATTTACTTGCGAACCTGCGTTTCTTGCATGCACTTAGGGGTGGGTGTTTGGCAACGGAACTCACTTCAGAGCTTTCAGCCTTATCCAGTAACTTTTCTCCATCGATTTGGCCTTGAAAAGTCATAAATGCCTACTATTTGACTTTCTGAAAGAATATTAACCTGATCCATTTATCTACTTAGAGTTAATGTATTTCTTCATTTTTCAGTTTCAGTTTTGCTGGTTGTACTACTTCCACGGTTTTCCCTTGGAGCTCCCGTTAGCAAGAGGGAAGTTTCAAAGAGAACGTTAGTAAAAGATGCGTTGCTGTCCATGCGTAACGTCTGCATCTCGAAACCAAATCTAATGATATTGACTTCTAAGACAAAAAAGGCCTACGTAAGTGTCAAAAAATCTATTTAAACTTTATACTTTTTTACACGACATTATCATCATCTCAAAACCTTAAAATGATACGTTTTACCAAAGAGACTTCTCCTAAATAAATCAGTCAGTCTATCAATCAATCTATCAATCAATCTATCAATCAATCCGATCGAAAATCAATCAATCAATCATCCATTGGTGTACTGTAATTTTGATGTTAGATTCGACTATAGAAATTATTTTACAAACGTTTTAAAAACTTAAGTGGAACCACGTGCTG